ACGAACGGTTAAGTTAATCACACATTCACCGCTCAGCGCTTTGCTGCTCTGTCCCCAGACATAGAGTACCCAGAGTACACTGTGCTGCTCCCAGCATGTGGTGTCCTGAATAACCGAACGGTACATTCCAACAGCACTCCAAATTCACCAACAGTCCAGTTTGTGCCAGAATGCGCTCCGGTACTCGGAGTGAATATTTCCGAACGCACCCCAAGCCTTTCCACAAATAAACCTTTGATTCATTAGATATGAAAATATGCTGGATCTGCATGCTGTTTATCCCCACTGTCTCTGTCTGCTGAGCAGCAGCTCTCAGTTGTTCTTCGGAGGCAGCTCAAGTGTATCAGGTTTCAACAAACTTGCAATTAACGGCAACAGAAGAAAAAGGGACTGTCAGTCATCTTTTAAAAGTAACAGCTTGCTTATTTGAAGGCATAACCAAATAACTGGTTACTTAAATTGCCAACTAACGCGTTACATTACTCATTAAAACAAAAAAGTAATCTGAAGACTTTTTGACACATTACCTCCAAAAGTTCTAACTTAAAATACATCTGCTCACTGTGCAAATATGTCACTACTTTTGATCATTTAAAATTCAGCAATAAAAACGGAATTCTCAAACTAGTGTCTGTTACACACTTTGACTCCACTTACATGTTTTGTCACCCTGACAACTAACACAAATTGCCATTCCCTGAGTTAGTCACATGACCACAGCAAACACTTCAGTGTCCTTTATATCCATTCTGTTTCTATGCCGCAACCATATAATCAATTTATTTTGTCCCCTCCATTTTTCTATTTCCTGGTTGTTAAATCTCTACTTGGACAAATTCACTGCTCGCTGGCATATCATTGGTCTTTTCCTCTGATTTTCACACTGAAAAGTTATGTTGGTATTTCTGGAAATTTTGCCACATTTGTACAACTTGTCTGTAAAATCTGCTACTCAGTACATTTAGAGCAAAAATAGGCCTTGCAATCACAGTCACAGAGTAATGCTTCATTTTCTATCTGTAACACTAGATGAAATTGTTTTTCCCACAGTCCTGATGCTTTCAGAGGCAGCAAATTGTGTCATCACCCAAGCACTCCCCACAGTTGGCTGATTAGTCCGTCTTCCAGCTGCTGGGCTCAATCAGTTAAAACTTTTTTTTTTTCAGACTCAAATCTTGTCATGAAAACTGGCCCTAGGAGATGTAGCCTGGCTTTTTGAGAGCTCAAGACAAAAAAGGTCCTATAATTTGTTATTTCTTCACGTAGGGACAAAGGCAAACCCTGCTTTTCAGTGCCACTATGCCCAAGAAGATCCAGAACTTTGCCAAGAGTGCACTGGTCAAACCCATCACAATTAATGTGGGCAGGGCCGGAGCTGCCAGCTTGGATGTCATCCAGGTATGTTCATTTGTCTCTGTAAGAGGTTTTCTGTCTTAGTCGGGGGGATTCATTGCATTCATTCATCACTCCAGAAAAATTGTGTGAGCTAAAGAACAAATACTTTGTGTGTGCAGGAAGTGGAATACGTCAAAGAGGAGGCCAAGATGGTGTACCTACTCGAATGTCTCCAGAAAACACCACCTCCTGTCAGTACTTCTACACGTCATGACATTCACATATACCAAAACTCAAATATGTCAGATGGTAGAAAATATTGTCTGTTCATATCAATAGGTGCTGATATTTGCTGAGAAGAAGGCTGATGTAGATGCCATCCATGAGTATCTGCTGCTAAAAGGAGTTGAGGCGGTGGCCATCCATGGAGGAAAAGGTACATAGGGCTCTAATCTAATCTTTGAAATATATTTGCAATCAGTACGTAGTGATGCAGAGAGTTGCAGTATTCGGAGGTAAGTCCAGCCCAGCATCAAGTTTCAGATCATCTGCACACAGCCTTACTCTTCAACTTTCTTGTAGTTGCACATCATTACCACCAGATGCCATCCTGCTTGCACATGTCACCATTTCTGCTTCCTAGTTTTTTCAACATTTCAAAGGCATAGAAAGCGCTGCAGATACGTCCCTTACAGTTTCCATTTGTTGTGTTGCAGAATGTGGTTTGTGTAATATTTGTTGATTGTGTTTCAGATCAGGAGGAAAGAACAAAAGCTATAGAGGCATTTAAAGAAGGAAAGAAAGATGTCTTGGTTGCCACAGACGTTGCCTCCAAGGGTTTGGATTTCCCAGCCATACAGCATGTAGTGAATTATGACATGCCTGAGGAGATAGAAAACTATGGTAAGAGGAGATATATGGCCTGGTCTTCTTAAAATCAGTACATTATGTAATCATCGGCTCTCTTTAAATTACTCAAGCTGGTTTGCTGAAATTGTCTCGCTTCAGTCCACAGAATTGGAAGAACTGGACGATCGGGCAAGACCGGTATCGCCACTACATTCATCAATAAAGGCTGCGGTAAGGGGGAAAAAATTAAAGTTATTCTTTCATATGGGTATTGATTTCAGAATATTTGTAATGCATTATAGTAAATTTATTCAGCTTAATTCAGTGATAAATGACAAGTTGAAAGTAGGAAACAAGTGTTTCCTACTGTGGGTCTGTATACATTTCTCTATACATATACATATACATATACAATAGGGCTGCTACAAAGTCCCTTTTTTACACCACCTTTGCATTTTTACAGAGAACCAAACAACAGTAGCATCATGCCGGCCCAGTGTGTGGTTTTAGACTGCATGCCAGCATCCCAAAAGCAAAATAGGCGGGCATGATGTACAGCACAACAGCGTCTGCCTCTACTGTGACACATGCGCATCAGCGCTTAATAAACAATAACAATAGCATTAATATGGCAATACCAATCATTTGCCATCCCTGTTATTTGGCAGCTAATTTCGTTATCTGCTCTGACAGTAAGAAGCTTCCAGACCTCATTGTTTTCACAATTTGCAAACATTGTTGGCTGCTGCTCTTCTTCTTTGAGTTAGCTGCTAACTGCTAGCAGCTGCTTTGAAAATCCCTGGTGGTGGGTCGCACACATAAAGGGGGATTTATACTTGTGCAGCAGATCCTACGCTGTTGTGAGCATTTATACTTGTGCGGTGGTGTGTCTGTGTCACTCTGCAGTTACACCTCCAAAACACTAGTCAGCGACGGAGGTTTCTGTGAAGTGCTGTAAATTTAGTTGATTCAAAACACACATTAAACATGGCTTAACAGAGACAGTTTCAAACACAAGAACACAAATCAGCTTCACTATAACTCGCAGTATTCACAAACACGTCTTTATCTGGACACATTTTCCCCACAAACACAACATGCTAATGTTTTTAGCAGAAGCCTATGGCATTTTACATGGTATGAATTAGCCTAGCAGCTAGCGGACTTTTCTCTACTCATTTGAGGGACAACAGCAACATTTAACAAAAGTAACGTTACAAAATTCGGCTCCATTAAAACTCACAAGGTTCACTGACAAAACAACTGTATTATACTAAACATGTTTTTCAAACAAACATAACATGCTAACGTTATTAGCACAAGCCTATGGCATTTTACATTGTATAAATTAGCCAGCGACGATTTCCTCTGCTCAGATTAAATCCCGAACTATAAATCCCCGAAGGATAAATCACACACAAGACCTAAAATGCTATTTTTCTGGAGGCTTTACTATCTTCCCAGTTTATTGTTTCTTATCTGTGAAATAAAGCAAATACGGCTTTTACTTCTTCTGCTGCTGGTTTGAAGGCGAGACAATTCTGAACTGCCATTCTGTGACTGTATCTTCTATAAATAGTGAGGCATAACAACACTGTGAAATTCTCATCTTGAACAGTCAGTGTAATAGGGGCATATGACTATTGATCTTGAAGAAGGCCTGAGGGCAGAAACGTCATCTGAATATAAGAGAAATACATATGGGCCCAGAGTGTGCAACACTTGTTTCCTACTCTCAAGTCTACTACCAGTGATCAGCTCCTCACTGTAACTCTTGGTGTGTGTTACTTTTCTATATTAAACAACAAAAAGTTTATATTAAGTGTGTGTCTTTCCCTATAGATGAGTCTGTGTTGATGGACCTGAAGGCCCTGCTAGTTGAAGCCAAGCAGAAGGTTCCTCCAGTCCTCCAGGTGCTCCAGACAGGAGACGAGACCATGCTGGACATCGGAGGTGAGTCGTTGTCATGCTCTGTCATGCTCTTTATCTATGGGTTACTCTGTAATCACTTTGTGTTTTCTTTAAAATGTTCCTCTAACCTAATCATCTTATCTCAAATTCACAAAAGTGTTGAGTGTTTGCAAACCCTTTGTGACTTACCTGATTTTTTTTTACAGGAGAGAGGGGCTGTACGTTCTGTGGCGGTCTGGGTCATCGTATTACAGACTGTCCCAAGTTGGAGGCCATGCAGACCAAGCAGGTCACCAACATCGGGCGGAAAGACTACCTGGCTCACAGCTCAATGGACTTCTAAGGGTTTTTTTAATAGAGGGATGATTCTCCAAAGCTAAACGGAACTGAGAAACATTTCTGAGGAAATTGTACAGCTGTTTTTCATGTCACTGAACTGAGGAAGTCTATTTGTATCATCCCCTAATATAGTTCTGACACAGGTCTGTCAGATGCAACTTTCATTTTTACCTTTTTGCCTAGATGTGTAGACTTTGTAATATACATTTTTGATACTTCCTATTGTAAATAAAGTCACAATATCTGTTCATGATCTTTAATGTTCTTATCTGGAAAAATAGAAAGGTGTGGTACCGGTTTTGTCTGATGAGGAAGTTGCTAAAACATGCAGAATGCAAAGGGAAGTTTGACTCAAGAAAACAGCAACACACATCTTGTGTGCCCTGTCTTTTGCAACAGTCAGGTTGCAGATCAGAGATATCTTGTCTGGACTTACACAAGTTGACGAGAGAATGAAAGCCACTGGTGACGTAAAGGAAACAAATGCTCTGGTGGCGTAGAAAAACCTAATTATAACCTCTTGGTTTGTTACATGTTGACCACAGAGCATTGAGACCTAGAGTAAAGATTAACAGAGCTCACAAGCATGGATGTTATCTTCAAGGAAGGGAAGCTGTACCTTCAAGGGGTCAAGTTTGGAAAGGTAAGTTTTACAGAAATTCGGTGTACTTGTGAAACAGTGAACATTGTGGTTGTTTTAAGTCTGTGGCAACTGAGCAGCTCGGACAAAAATACATGTTACAGTACTTTGCTTTGATGAACTGCCGAGTTGAGACACGTAAAGGCTCAGCTGACAATACAAATATTTCTCAGAAGTTTTATGTCTTGATGTAGAGCATGCTATATATAAACTCATTGCATGCAAATACATACATTGCTCCAAATATCAAGCCTTGGTAAATGATACAGATACACAAACACTAATGCAAATGTGGAAATTTGTCAAATTGTTTTTAGTATTTACTGAAAGTCTAAATTTCCCTCCACTCAAGATGGCATAGATTTAACGTGGTCTTGTGAAACTGCATCATCCTTTTTGCCCTTAAAGAAGATCTTTTCAAATGTCCCTGCAAGGTGTTCAGTGGGTTTGGCAACTCTGAAGTCATGCAAGTCGGCAATCTTTTCACTTTCTTGGACTTAAAATATAGTAATTCTTTTGTTTGGGTCAATGTGGAGATAACTCTGTTTGGCTAAATCTGGAATAAGTCTCAAATCGCCATGTGTTCATATTTCCACAGTCGCTTTTAACTTCAGGAAATGCATTGTTCCTTATTCCACTCGTGTTGGTGTCTCATCAGGTAATCTCAATATAACCTGCTGTAAATACAGATTGATATTAATGGTGAAAATCTGGTATTTGTCCACCCTTATTAGATACGAATTTATAATTGGGGCTGGTTCCATTTGCAAGGCTTGTATTTTGCTATTTCAGTCAGTTAGATTGTATCTGCTCCTATTATTAGTAATATGTGAAATGGTGAATTGAGTGCTAAATTTCCTTTGAAGGTGTGATACTGATTCACAGATATCTTAAAATACTGGTCCTCAGATGACGTGGAGACCAAATGTGTGAGTGACATCCTATTTTCATGAGTGCTATATCGTAGGCATCTGGACTTGTTGTTGACCCAAGCAAGTCCAGTTGCCTACGATATAGCACTTACAATTACCATGACCTGGATGACTGAGAATCTTCACAGACAAGACGACATCCTATTTTGGATCAATATGATGTGGTTTGTGAAAATCCCTTCAGTGTGGTTCGCACTGCCCTCTCATAAACTGTAAATTAAGCTACAGGTGGGCAAAGGCTAGTCTTTCTTAGGGCCACTTTTTGCAAAATTCAAGCAGTATGACTAATGCACAAAGTAACATATTTACTTGATTTTCGTAAAAAGTGAAATAAATAACAATCTGATAATTAAACTTTGCACAGGGGTCATTTCAAAGATGAAACAATGCTTAATTGAAGGTTTGAAATGAATAGGAAAAAAAAAAGAACAACAACATCACAAAACAATAAAAATAAGTTAAGTTAGTGATAACAGAATAAAAAATTTAAAAAATAGCTACTGAAACAGAAAATGGTGCTATAGATAAAATCAAGTCAGACAAAATGTGTACTAAATATAACAGTACATGCTCAAATTAACAGGCTGTTTACAGGTCTGGGTGTGAACGAGCTAAATGCAGCACGCAGTCACTGGAGGTCATCTGAAAACAATGAGACGCATCTTGAAATAAATTCTGTAAACATACAGATGGTATTGTTGTAATGCACTTTGTAAAGAGTAATCAAGAGTTTGTCTGTGGCCTTACTCCTAATAACCCATCTATCTATATCTGTGTTGTCTGAGAGCTGTAGAAGACTTTGAGCCATCTAATCACTGATGTTTGAAACCCAACCATGTCAGCAGGGCTCAGATCATCACACGAAGCAGAAATGTAGAGCTGTGTGTCATCTGCGTAACAACAGAGACAGACACCGTACTTCCTGATAGTATACCATAATAACAAAAGATCTAAATCACTCATGAACTGTGCCACCCATACACTTCATAAAATAATTGACTTAGCGACCATGACATCACCCACTGGTTTGTGGACCCCCATTTTGTAGCCTCGGGTTTCGCATACACGGCATTTTGGCCGTTGACATCTTGGTTTTCTGGAGCCAGAGGTTACCATTTTAGAGGAAAGGATGGAGGTGTGGAGGAGTGAGGGGTTGATCTGATTCATAGATTGTAGCGGCACCTCATAGACAGCCTGGCACTCAAAGCGGTCCTGTCCTTAAATATGTGCAACTTCAAGCCTTAATAATATGTTAACGGTTGATTTATATAAAAATTCACCACCCTTACAGTTGTCATAGGTGTTGCAATTAGCTATAGAGACCAATTTTTTGTATCTGGTTGTAAACATGTTTATTTCTGCTGTAAAGTTGGACATTGTAACACGCCAGCCTCAAGTGGCAATTTGAGAAACTGCAGTTTTTGGAACTTCCACGCTGACCTCGTTTTTCAGCCCTGGAGGTTGCCACTTGGTGCCACCCATTTATTAACCGTCACTACTTTTTCCCTCCTTCTATCTCCAACAGAAAACATGGCGGAAAATATGGATGGTGCTTTTGAAGCCCAGCTCCATGGGCGTCGGGCGGTTGGAGATCTCTAGTCTACTTGACAACAATGCTGCTACTGACCAGAAGAAAGTCTCTTGGCCGAAAACGCCTGAAAGAAAAGTTGTGCGTCTGAGTGACTGCCTCAGTGTCGTCCCTGCTCCAAAGCAGTCTTGCCCCTCTGGGTGCACCGCCTTCTACCTAAACACCACTCAATGCACCTTCACTCTGGCCTCCACAACAACCCAGGACTGGCTGAGTGCCCTCTGCCTTCTAGCCTTCCAGGTATCACACATCTCTCCTCTTGGCCAGTGCAACTTTCTTCTTCTCTTTTTACATCAGGAGTTGTACTTTGGAAAAGGTGGGGATAAACCTTACTGACAATCAGACAGGACAATGAGGAAGTTAATACAGTATCTGTAACTTCTGTCTCTTCACTTCTCTAATTCTTGTGCTTGCACAAGCTATGCCCTTTCTTGCATCTTACCTCTTTGAAGTCATAAAATGGTGATAAGAGGATGGTGTACACTCCATGTAATGTTTACCATGCCACTGTGTTTACAGAAGGATCCTGGGGAATCAGACAAAGGGGCTTTCGAGAGAGGAAATGACTTGACCATGGCGGATAATGACCTTTACTCATCTTGGAAAACTGGTAATGCTCGTCAGTCTGTAGATGACAGCTGATCAGTCAACGAGCAATCAAAAAAAATTTGTTTAGTTTAAGTTAGTCTTAGCTATTTGTCAGATTGTCTGTTGGTGTTTCATGCCCTGTCAAACTATATTATAGTGATGCTGCAATGCTCCCACATCAGCAATCAAAACTTTGACTCAAGTTGCAAGAAACTGGAATGATGGTGTAAAATCAAAAATCAAAAGTACGTATTTTTCCTTACAGCTGTAGTGCTATTTATAAATCTAGATTGTTTTGGTGTGACTTGCCAGGTGTTGGAGATATCGGATGTAGAGATGTCTGCCCTCTCTTAAATACAATGGAACTAGATGGCACTCAGCTTGTGGTGCTCAAAGTTGGTTGGTCAAAAATACATTTAAACAACTTTGAAGGTAAATTTCAGTTTATTTCAACCCGTCTCCTATCGTCCTAAATTTGGTTCAAGTGACTAGTGACATACAGATAATAGTTAGCATGTTAGCTGTTAGCCGTTAGCCTAGATACAACCGCAGCATCAGACCTGTTAAAACGTAATTGAACGGGCATCCCTTCAAGTGCAAAGTTAGTCCACTAAACAAGCTTTTTTTCCACAAAGACCACCTCATATCGTTAGGATAAATGTCAGAGAACATATAGAAAATGGCATGTAAACGTGTTGTCTTACCTTACCGGTGTGCTGCCATGTTTGTTTATCCCTCTAGCTCTGCTTTCCAAAGCGCAGCCGAAATATATCTCGCCAGCTCTAGATAAAGCCCAGCTGGATACTACTTCAGGTGGAGGTGTCTCGTCTTCGGTCACATCCAGACCTAGAAAATAAGGCTGCAACCGCTCCCATTCCTTGCAACAGAGGCATTCCTCTTCTGTGGGCACTGGGGCACAGCATTCACAGCTACTCCACCAATTTCCAGAGCTATGCTGCCTTCCAGCAGCCATTCCTCCTCTCTCGTCCTCTAACGTTACCTGTTGCGCCTCTCTCTCTCCTCCTCCTCCGTTCAGGCGACTGTCCGGTTCTGCCTTCCAGCTGTTGCTGCTTGTTCAGGCACACTATGAGATCGTTGCTTGTTCTCGCGATATTTCGGCTGCGCTTTGGAAAGCAGAGCTAAATTGTAAACAAACATGGCAGCACACCGGTAAGGTAAGACAACACGTTTACATGTAATTTTCTATATGTTCTCTGACATTTATCCTAACGATATGAGGTGGTCTTTGTGGAAAAAAAGCTTGTTTAGTGGACTAACGTTGCACTTGAAGGGATGCCCGTTCAATTACGTTTTAACAGGTCTGACGCTACGGCTGTATCTAGGCTAACAGCTAACATGCTAACTATTATCTGTATGTCACTAGTCACTTGAACCAAATTTAGGACGATAGGAGACGGGTTGAAATAAACCAAAATTTCCCTTTAAATAACTCAAAGATCTTGTTATGAGTAGTTTCTTGTAGGAACTATTTTCTTTCTACTCAACACACCGGTCAACTGTATCACTGCTCAGGAGGAAGCTTGCATCTACTGCTAGCTCACCTAGCATCACTGAGCCATAAATAATAACATCTCATGCTGTCACAAGCAGGAGTCTCTTGTCCATGAGTAGATGCACAGTTCCTTCTGAGCACTGATTCAGTTGGCAGGTGTAGTTCGGTAGACAGAAAATAGTTCCTACATGAAACTACTCACAACAAGCTCTGTGGATTATCTTGAGTAACCAGGTCATGATTTCTAGAAAGAGACATTGCTGCTGAGTTTTTCAAATGCATTTTTGCCACTTTGAGCACCACAAGCCGAGTGCCATCTAGTTCCATTATATTGGAGAGAAGGCAGATATCTCTACAGCCTATATCTCCAACACTCTGCAACTCACACCAAAACAATCTACACTGATTAAAAGTACTAAAGGTAAGGGGGAAAATATGTATTTTTGATTTTGGGGGTGAACTGTCCCTTTAATAATGTCTTAAGAGTGAATTGGAGAATGTATTATAATAAAGGAAACAGACCAGGAAGAAGCTAGCAGTAGTGAAGTTTAGATGTCACAGAGTCACAAATTCAAGACATCAGCAGAAACCTTGAATATGTGTCAGCAGCAGCTAAAGTCACTAATTTATTCAAACATGAACGGCAGAATGCATTAGCGTCAGCAAGCTCTGGCTTACACACATTTATTTCTTTTTATTTCCTAATGGATTACACTTCTGCTGAAAAATCCCGGCAGCCCAGTCACACTGAGAGATTAGCAGAATGCAAGCAATTTTAAATCAGCCCTTTTCTGTATAAGAATGTACTTAGTGTATATTTATTCCCTATGCTAATGTATTGCTGCGCAGACGTCATGTGAAATATCCAGTACTTTCATGTGTATTTACTGCATGCTGCACTAACCTCAGTGTGCTATGATGTTTAAAGTGGCTGATGATGTCATGTCTTGTCATGTTTAGATCTGACCCTTCCTCCAAACCAGTACCAAGTGACAGTCCAGAGCACAGAGGCATCCAGGAGGTGCAAGTTGTCCGGGGAGTATCTGGTCTCCACAGAAAAAGACGCTGTGACTCTGCTGGCCATCAATACTGGTCACATATTCTATCGCTGGCCGTACAGGCTCTTACGCAAATACGGACAGGTTGAGGTAAAGTACTTATGAATTCCCCTCATATTGGAAATGATGAAAATATATTCAAAGTGCATCACCATAGTCATGATAGACCTGGCATTTAGCTGGGATCATTTACATATCTTTGAAGGAATAGTTTGACATTTTGGAAACTGTGCTTAATGGCTTTCTTGCCGAGAGTCAGATGAGAAGATGGATACCCCTTCTCAGACGGTGATATCGCTCTTCTCATCTAACTCTCAGCTAGAAAGTATGAGAATATTTTCCATAACGTCAGCATATTCCTTTAAGGTGTGTGTTGCTGCGTGTGATTGCAGGGTGGATTTAGCATTGAAGCCGGCCGGCGCTGTGAGTCAGGAGAGGGAGTGTTCATCTTCCTGTCCAGGCACGGTCCCCAGATCTTCCAGAATATATCAAGGCAGTGCTCTGTGGAGAGGATGTCCCCTTCTCAGCCAACCAGTGTCCACAGGAGATCCTTTTGTGACTCTAATCTCCCAACCACAACCAGCTGGCCCTCTGGTCACCATGTCTACAGTCCTGCAGATGTTTCTGCAGACACAGAGGATGAGTCTGCCGACCACTACTCTACTATAAATGACACCCCCGTGCTAAATGTAAAGCGGCTATCTCTTGTCCAAACTCATCTCTCTAACAGCAGGGAGGCTGTGGGAGATGAAGATGAGGATGAGGCTGATAGATGTCATTCCCTGGAGGCTGTAAACCTGGATACTGTCATGGAGGACAGCATTTATTACAACCTAAGGAGAGCCACACCTCCTATAATCAGACCTGATGAGTTCAAACCTGCAGGGTTCTCAGAGTGCATCTATTCAGATTTGAAAATAGTTGATTTTCCCCTAAATCCCCAGCTGCAGCCCCTCTCGTCACCCCTACCTGAGTTTGTTCCCCATCTTCGCCCCTCCACCCCGCCCAAGTCTGCTCCCAGCACCCCACCCAGGCCCCGATACCAGCGCCAGCCCCCTGCGAATAACTACAACCCGCCAGGGTACAATACACAGGCACAGGCGGTGGATGACATGAAGGAGATGGAGGAGGCCATCAGCTCCTCTACCCATGTTGGCCCCACAGAGGCCCCTGGCAGTTTTAAACACAGGCTGGCAGAAATCATTTCTAAGGACCTGGCAAAGTTCCAGCCACCTCTTCCCTCTGGAGTGGGCAGCCCCACATTTTCTCAGTAGCCTATTAGCTAACAGACAGACTAGGAGGAGCAGTTTTTAACCATGATAGACTGTCATAAAGCATAATTAGTTTCTTTATATCTTTGAAATCCCTTTAGCTGGAAACATTTGGCATCAGATTTTGGCTTGTAGATGTTTGTATATTTATCTGTAACCTGAGAAAAGCATCTGGAATGCATTTTATTCTGTGGATTATCTTTGCAATAACTAGATTTGAGTAGTGTTGTTCTTTACTGCTGGAATTTTAAAGAAGCTACAGTATATGTGCCGCAGTATCTTTAATGTGACATAGCCGTGAGCTGATAAGCTGAGGGAACACTTGTGGACTGTTTCATTATGGAAATAGCTTTGGAAAAAAAATGTTTCCTTGTTACCTCGGCAGTTACCGTAATATATATGGTAATATTTGAATATGCTCAAAATACCCCCATTAAAAAAAGGCAACCACTCTCTGCTGTCCGGAGTAATCATTAGCAAATGTAATTGTAATCATAAATAAACTTAACAAATTGCCATTATTACTACTACCGGTCCTAGTATTACAGTGTGCTGCAGCTCTGCATGTGATTTATGCCTGTGGTGTTGCTGCTCTCCAGCAGAAGCTGCTGTGGAAAGATACAATCAGTGTCAAAGACTGTGCTGTCTCTGTTTCGTCACTTTCAAATGTATTAAAAGATGAAAAACTGGAGCGTAATTTGAGTGTTATGTAGGCTTTATCACTGTCAGATGTGATAGTTAAGTGTTAGTATGTCATAAAAAAAGTCATTAAAAATTAGTCATAGTGTGTGCACTGCGGCCCTCAGCTGGCTCCCTGAAATGGCACTCAGTACTCAAGTCTTTGAGAACTGATCTAAGATTGTTTGAAGATGTTTTAAAGTGGTCTGTTTAGCTGTTTCAAGCCCCTTGGGGGTTGGGTCACAGTAGATGTAGATCAGGGGTGTCAAACATACGGCCTGTGGGCCAGAACCGGCCCGCCAAAGGGTCCAATCCGGCCCACAAGATGACGAGACTAAGAGGTGCCAGTTTTCAGGAGCAAGTTAAACAATGCATACTTCATGTAAAAGTCTGCTTCAGAGTCTTTCCCACTCTGACCAGAATACAGCTCTCTAATATATCAATCAATACTGTGACCATGTTTAAAGATATTGAATGTTGTGCAAAATACTGTCAATCAGCTCCTTCAGTTCATAAGAATCTGTATCAGGAAATGCGTGGATAAATGCACATGTAATGACACTGAGAAGTAGACTGACTAAATGTGGAAAAACTGAGTCATTCTGTTGAAACGTAACTTATTTTTGTCAAGCCATGTCAGGCCGTTCATCTGTTTTGTAAAGGGATGAACATCTATAGAATGTACTTGAAATTCTTTACATAACAAAGGTGGTCTGGCCCACCTGAGATCAAACTGGGCTGTATGAGTTTGACTTTGACACCCCTGCTGTAGATTAAAAATGGTCCCTCCCAATGTTAAATAGGTGATTACGGCCCTGATTGTTGAACAGCTGATTTGGAGTTAGCTTTATGTTTGCTCTTCTAACTTCCCTTTGTAAAGAGCGTACGTTTGTTTTGTCACACGGCAGTATAACCGTTTTGCAATGACTAAAACATTTTGAACATGGAGGCTTCAGTCTGCTTCACATGGTATAAATATTGACATGTAACAAAATGAAATACACAAAACAACTCAAAATGCACACTGGTGTTTTAAGCATATCTTTATTGTAGCAAAACAATCATCATAAAAATACCCCATAGCTTTACATAAATATCAAAATAATTGTTTTAATTTAGACAAATGTCACTGACACTGGGAATGTCTGTAGTGATGGTTCAGACCATAAAGTGCATTAAAAAGGCCTCTGTGGCCTTAGGAAGTAAAAAAAAATCAGGGTTTCAGTAAGTTTTTCTCATTGACAGTGCAATTTCTAAACTATTTCAAATGACAGGAGAAAATAAAGGACTATGTGACATGATCAATGTTTCTACAAGCTGATATTTGGTTCTCCTGGTTCTGTCTCTAACAGACACTGCAGTGGTTTTGTGTTACTGTCTTCCACTCTGACTCTCCTCCATGTCACTGAGGTGCGAAGATTCCCCATCACTGCTGTTGGAAGAAGTCACTGATTGATTTGACCCCAAGTCAGATGTAGGTCCGAATATTATGAGGTGGCCGACGGAGGCGGAGGGGTCCCGCTGTTCTCCGGTCAGCGGGTTCGGGGACTGCGCAGTGTCCGCTGGCCGCAGAGAGTGGATCAGACTCCGCCTGGAGGACTTGTCCGCAGCAGCTGGACGGGGACTCCTGCACTCCGGGTGAACTACACCAGCCAGCAGCTCCGACAGCTCAGTGATGTAAATCTGCGCCATTTGGAGGGTGTCGTACTTGGACAACTTTCTCTCGTTTTCCAGGGAGGGGATGACGCTCCTCAGCTCGTCAAACGCCTTATTGAGGCCGTGCATCCTTCTCCTCTCTCTGGCGTTGGCTGCGACGCGCCTGTGTTTCTGCGGGCCAAAGTGGCTCGGCTTTCCCCCCTCTGCTGCCCTGTCACAGTCTGCCTCTGCGGCGTCTGCAGCAGTCTGGCACACAGGAAGTTTACTCATTGGCACAAGTTTCTCCAGCGCGAGGCCAGAGTCTGCAGCTCCGTGCGCGTCCCTCCTGGAGAACGCATGGATTGAATTAGATGAAATCCAAGTCTTGGAGTTGATGTGGGCAAGGTTGCGCTGCTGCAGCAGGCTGAAGTCCTCAGGGTACTCCGGCCAGCTTGAAAGCTCTGCTTTTGCAGTCATCACTGCAATGGCCTGTGGTCGTGCACGGCAGGGAAAAGGTCACACATAAGACTCTGGCTGATGCCCTCGTCTCTGGAGTGCTTTGCACCGCGCCAGCAATTTATACCACCTCCCCTCAGTCACCTTGGTGTCACTCCCAGCTCTTCAAACAGCCCTGACAGCCCTGCAGCCTCAGGAGGCAGCAGCCAATCGTACAATCCCCTCTGACCCTGTCAACGAACAATTAGACAAAGCTCGACTTTTTCTCTCCCATTGTGCTTTGTAACTCAATCACGACCTTGTTATTGTGCTCGCACAGAGGGGAGCCGCGGTATTAATCATTCAAGAGCATGGCGTATATGTTTCAAAAGTTTAGGAGAAGATGTCTAATGAAGCTGTTCAGGAAAGTCTGAGCTGCATGTCTGCTGCTGGCTTTATTATTTTGGTTTTCCAGAAATAAATAAATTAACACGCCCAAACTGTTAATTAGTAAATTAAACAACCTGTGCTTGCAGCTTGGACATATAGAGTTTTCTGATCTTTCCCTCCACCCAAAATACTTTTTTACACAATTATTTTGTGATTTCTATTTTTATAAGATTATATATTATTTTTATAGGGTATTTTAAAGGTCCAGTGTGTGGGGCGTCTTGGCAGAAATTGAATATAACTTAATAAGTCTGTTTTCCTTAGCTTATAATCACCTGAAAATAAAAATTGTCATGTTTCCGTTACCTTAGAATGTGTCATTTGTTTCTACAGTAGCCCAGAATGGACAAACCAAATACTGGCTCTAGATAGAGCCATTACATCAGCCACCGTAATTAGTAGCCCCTCTGTGACAAGCCGAACAGCATTGAAAAACACTAATTTCAATGTGAAACTGCTTTATTCAGCGTCTTTACCAGTTAATTTAACTGAGTCCATTTGTTTTGGTTAGGAACTGACCTCTGCAGATGATTTGGCTCCCAGTAAAAACCTCCTGAACATCTGGATGTTAAGTTATTTTAGAAAAAAGGCGAGCACATATAAGCAGGTGCTAGGCTAGCAGCCCATCTGCAACGTGCCTATCAGTGCTGATTTGTAATATGAAACTGCTTTATTCAGCGTTTTTATCAGTTTTAATCACATGGTCCATTTGTTTTGGAGAGGAAGAGACCTCTGCGGATAATTTGGCTCCCAATAACAACAACTGTAACTGGGAGTTCATGCTTGGCTAATGATAGAAAGTTCAGCTGGTTGCAATCAACAATCCTCACATGTCGGTAAATCCTACACACTGTTCCTTTAAAGCTTAGTAGGTCTATTTATTTAAAAAGTTAATCAGATATTGTTTAAATTTAGTGTGTTGTGCTGTTAAGAACAAACATTTTACACTACATAATCATCACCATCATTACCATCATCAACATCCATATAGACTGTAGCCAATCCCAGTCCATGGAAAATGAATTTGGGCATCTTTCTCATGAGCAAAGGAACTGACTCCTTCACTTCGGTCTGACCCCTGAGGGATCTGGCAGCGTTGAGGTTTGTTCTCAAACAAACAGTAAAAGGTAGACAATCTTTTGCAGATTATTTGCAGAAGAATAATAAATGAACAGGTGGAAGGCAAGGCTTGAGACACACCTGTCTATAGCACAGCCATGATAACTGATAAGTTGTCTGAGGGCAATTTATGAATCATTTAGCGAGAAGTGAGGATCAAAACATGCATAGGCCTGTGTCATAATGCAAAAAGTTCCATTAGGCTGTTATCATTATTATTATTATTATTATTATCATCATTATTATTAGTAGTAGTAGTAGTAACATTAGGATTTTATTTCCTAGGCTTGATCAAATCAAGTCAGATTAATTAATTTTGATCAGTCACGTGGCCCCTGTGCCTATCAGCTGGTGTCCCCTGGCACCTAACACAAGCTACACACCTCTGTCACAACCAGTGTCACCCACGTCTCCCATATGCCGTGCGCAGCAACAACTCAGCTTTCACACTGACGCTCACTGCTCTGACACAAGAGCTAATCACTCATTAGGTCATCAATTACATGAGAGGAACCACTTCAGCTGTCCGGTGGGAGATCTGAGATGTTGTGATGATGGCAACTTGGACAAATTTAGCATTCAGTGGCCCTCTCTCCTCTTCTTCTGTGTTTGTGTATGTGTGTGTGACAGTCGGGGTCGCACACTAGTAAAGAAAATCACCGTGACCTGCCTCGCTGCCAGCAGTTTAATGAGGCCTGGTCTTAGTTGAATAAATCGGCACGCTCTCCTTCCCGGGGTGTCCATTCATTTTTTGGGCGACATGAATATTTCATTCCTTCAGCCCCACTGCCAGCGCAACAGCCTGCAACCCTGCGTGCTGGCTTTAAAAATGCGGCTACACTTCCCATCTGGTGCTGGGCGTGAGCGGAGGAGTGGCAGCGGAGGCCGAGGAGGTGTGAGGAACATTTCTGAGGTCAACTTCTATTGACCTCCTGCAAGAGAGAGACTGATGGGTCCCACCAGGCGAGGGGGTGGGGGGTGGGGGCAACAGCATGACTGTCAACTGGCGAGTTGAAGGCAACTTTCCGTAAGTTATTTCCATACAACGCAAAAATAATCCATTACAAAGTTGAGTCTGCATTGAAAACTTGTACTGAAAAATATTATTAGCAAAATGTCGGCCAACTTCCAGTTCCAGTGTGTAAGATTTAGGGGGACATATTGGCAGAAATTAAATATAATACCCATAACAAGGTTTTCATTCATTTATAATCACTCAAAACTAAGATTAATCTTGTTTTTGTTACCTTAGAATGAGCATACATACATATGGAACGGGTCCTCTTCCAAAGTCCAGTTCACACCACTGCAACTTTTCTCTGCAACATTCTAGCAGAAGACATTTCCTGCAAGGGAGCAGACATGGCCATAGCATAGACATATGAAGTCATTCAGGAGTGGTGGAAAGTTGCATACTTTCTTACTGAAAGATGACATCATTGTGTTTGACTCATTTGTATGTGATTTTTTTTAATAACCAATAAGATGCAAGACGCATCTGGCCCTTCAGATATTTTCACATTATCTAATCTGGCCACCATTCAAAAAAGTTTGGACACCCCTGTCCTACACACTTGGCACATGGGAGAAGTTTCAGTTGGTTGCAATCTGCAACGTCACCACTAGATGCCACTAAATTCCAAACACTAGACCTTTAAGGCCCGAACATACTCGGGCATACTATAAGCGGAGTGGATTCCGCGAGGAATGTCCGCAGTCATTCAGGCTTCCATAGTCATGCGCACTTTCGTGTTGTAGTTTACTGTAAAAATGTCCGTGAAACACACTACATTACCCACAATTCTTGCACATCAATGTGAAAAATACATGCCGAGCAGTCACTGGTGCGCAGAGCGGAGTCCGCGCGGTCATAAAATCTGAGCTTTGTGCGCACAGGGCTTGTGGTCTGCTCCGTGTACATTCCGCCCGAGTATGTTCGGGCCTTTTGGTATACACTTATAATAGCAAAAATTGCAGATTTGTACAGAAACACCTTAGAAGTGCATTAACTTGATAGTTTTTCTGACTTACAAATTATCATCTCAAAATTCTGAGAAAAGTTGTCATGAAAAAAATCTGCTATTGTTTGTCTGAACTGATGAAAAAAATTATTTAATTAATTCAGAAAAACAGCAGATTTTTTTTTTATTAAATAAATGCTTCACACTTTCAAACATTTGAGTGTCCAAAAGTGGGTTAAGTACAGTGAATTTCCAACACAGAGCTTTTATTTTGAAGTGCCGTTTCCTGCTGTAGAGTGAGTGATAAATGGACAACTACTTGACCGAGACAGCAAACTAGCTCAACGACATGGCCAAATGCAAATATGACACTGAATGTATTAAACTGTGTGGACCTTCAGCTAATGACCAAGGAGAAATCTGGACAATGCATCATATTTTAAAAACCATATATTAAATCTGAAACTTTAACTTATAACTATTGGCTCTCAAACAAATTCAGTGAAATAAAAAGTACAGTGTTGGCCCGGTTCCAAGAGGCAGGAGATAACCAGAGGACACACTGCTGAGTGAAACCCTGTAGACACTCAGAGTGGCACATAGATGGATTTCTGGCTCCTGGACTCTGTCTCGTGATAAACAGGAACAGGTAGGCTGTAACTACTGCTGACTGCAGCAGAATGTAAACAAGTGGGATCAATTTGTTCCCGGTGAGGACCTGTGTGTTCATTGCCTTGGAGTGCTCCTTGTAAACTCCTTGAAGAGACTTTCAGTGAGAGGCTGCAGTGTCCGATGGAACATCCCACGATGCGAAACAACAAACCAACCTGGCACAAAATGCCTCACCAATCTCACAACTCAGTTTACAGCTAATAATGGTTTCACAATATGTCACCAGCTTGGCAACCAGAGCGCCATCCACGACTGCAGCTGCCAGATGACGTTGGTGATGGAACCTGGCAACAGTCCCAACAGTTTATCTTGACCCATAACTATTTAAACCCTAAACCCATCCAGCCAACCACAGCAGCACCCTCTTGTGTCAACACATGCTCCGTGGCTACTATTTAACTCTGATTAAAGTTGTTAGAGCACACACTGTGGGTGGCAATAACTGGTGAGTACAAATTAATGCCTCTCAACCAGTCACACTGTTTGGTTGCAGTTGAACATCGTAAAATACTGTGCATCTGTTTTGCAGCAGGGATTGGTCGGTTCCTCGTGGGCTGATAATGGAGAGACTGAGAGTAGTTCCAATAATAATACCTTGTCTCATTGTTCTAATTTCTAGCAAATGAGGCAGGCCTAATAGTGAAATTATAGCAGTCCTCATTTCACTGGGGATGCCTTAGAAGCTCCTCAATTATCCCAGGGGAACAGTTGGGAATCATGCCCAAGCGATCTATAATTAATTCAATTTTTAGAGATTTCGTTTGATGTGTCGTGTCTCTGTCTCTTTGTCCACCTGTTCAAGACATTATAATATCCTATAGGAAGAACAATATGTCCATACAATCCACACAGGCTTCAGAAATTACAATACCACTTATACTTTACAGGCCTTTTAATTTT